AGAAAGATTGACCTTCCAGGCATTGATTTCACAGGGGTCTGCTCATTCATACATTTAGAAATGTCACTGTGACAACACTGTCGCGGAGTGTGGAAATCCATAGTCCGAGTAGAAAAGTGCAGAGCTCAACCCGGCCAAGTTTTTAATAAATTGGCACATGGAGGGAAAAAAAAAAAAAAAAAAGATGCTGCCACTAATGGTCAGTCTTGGGGCGTAGGAGAATACTTGTCATGGGTTTTCATCATGAGGATACCCAAAAATGTATCAGAATAATAATAACAATAATACCTGTATGCCGATACAGTTACAGTCGCAGTTACTATTATGGTGCTTGGATTACAGGTTGACAAACAGGCAACTAGTCTCGGAATACTTTTATAAGGTAACCTTATACCCACCCTGCTACCGATGTATGGCCACTTATGGTAATCCACGGCTTTGTTAAAGCCTTTGTCAAATATCAATTCTATCCTCACCTGCTCTTCCAAGCAAAGCCACCTTTAATCCACCGTCATTCGTTCGACTTCAGAACCTTGCAAAGCCAGAGATTCTCTTTCTTTTCTCCGTGCCGGTTCTCTCGGTGCCAATGACACTTTTTCTAATTGTTACATTTTTTTGTGAGTAATCTTCCCCTTAATTGGTTTTTCCCATCGTCCTTCTCGTACGATTGGAATGAATGCCTTTTTGTTCTTTTTAGGAGTCTGTGCCTTCGAAGCGTTATACCGATTTGGATTGCGGGGGTTGGAGGGACTCAACCTTACAAACGGTTGGAAGAATCATTGTTCCGTCGAGTGGGTGTGTGGGCTACGAGAGGACGTGGGTTCAGACGGCGTGTAAAGAGCTAATGCAAACAAAGAAAGCCACTCCATTTTTAGTGCCCTTGTGCAATGCGGCTCTTCACTTGCAGTGTGGGCTGCCCTGTAATTCTTCCCTGGCTTGCTACGAGTTTTACTTTCAAGGAATGGCGCCTTCTGAAGGGTGCATTTTATTTTTTTTTTTAAATAATTTACCGTGAGTTAAACTTTAGTGGTGGTAGTATTTTTCTCTTACCCGTCTTTCAGCTCTGGAAAGTGAATTCTCTTCTCTCATTACGTTTGTTTAATGAGCCAAAGGCTTGATTTTACTTAATGGTCAGAGTCATTACAGCTGCCATGGGAACAAATGCCCCCCCCCCCCAAAAAAACAAAAACTCTCTGGTAGGCATAAAAGTAAAAAGTGGATAATGCATAATAATAATAATGTCGTTTTAAAAAAAAAAAAAAAGTCTCCATAATAGCACCTTTACAAAAAGACTGATAATTTTCAGTCATCGTCCGGACAGCAGACAGATTTTTTTTTCCTCCTCCAGGAAATTTGAAAAAAAAAATGTAACAACGCAACAAAAAACACAATCTGCCTTTACCAAAATCTAAAAGAAAAAAAAAATCTGGCTCCACAGCAACCTGTTGCCAAGTGATGATGCTGCCAGGTGGCTGTAACAATGTCCAACCTCAAGGCAAAGCCACTTGACAGAACGCCTCCCCCATTCGCGATGTCTTTGGATACTCTTTCATCGCCGCCATCAAACGGGAAGCAAAGCAGTCTCATTCACTTCAGTATCTCATTTCCACTCTCACGCTGCCTGATAATACATTGCTTACATTTTTGTACACATCCTTGCCACCTGGGGGTCATTATAAGATAGAAATACAGGTCGATAGAAATACAATTGGAGGCTCAGATCCTCTCTTGGCTTCTCAGTATGGAAGGTTTATTAGTCACTCTTTACGGAGGATAAAGACTCTATGCCTCTGAGTATTGTCCTATTGTCTCCTTACATGAGTTGCTGGACGATTTGTGTTCTTGTATCCGTTGCTTGAATACTGTAGTAACAACACTACCACATAGATGCTAATAGTTAGCCCTCGCGCCAATAGTGTTCGCCATCGTATCCTAGCAGAGGCTAATGTGGTTGTTTCAAATGCATAATGCAGCATTGTCTTTATTTTATATTTAGTTTGACAGTAACCTTCAGCCAGTCAGCTTTAAATGTCTTTTCAGAAGAACATTTCTGAATTATATCTGCCAAACTCCTGCTTGTTGTGAAGTGACTCGACACAATGGACATAACTGTGATGTCACACCGCCACAATATTAAATGTTAAACCTGTTCAATAGTCATTATTGTCAATCCAACTGCATGTGGCCACATTAAAAAAATATATATATATATATACGCATGTACCCTGTTTTCCTCACCCTTGATGAATAGAAAGCTAAACCACCCGTTGTAGATCATGACATAAAAACTACACTCCCAGATGAAAGGCTCGCGGGTGGAGAGCACTTAAACATAAAAGAGGAACCATTATTTTGGGTCGAAAAACAATTTGACCCCGGCCCACCTCCTGGGCGGTGAGGCACTTTTGCAGTTTTACAAATGCATCGTAATTAGCTCGTCATTCGGAAAAATGGCCTCACTTTCAGGACGTGATGTGGTGAAAAATGACAGATGAGCTTCATTTTCATCGGCCGCATTATTTCACCTGCACTGGCAAACACCGGCGATGCAAACCCTGAAGAAGAGAACCTTTTTATCAAGGACAATAAACAAACTTCCCGTTCCCACCCGGTTACTGCAACCACTGACAGTAAATGTCTGCGGTGATAAATCGCTCCCACCTCTCAGCACAATAGGTGGCATTTCCGACCAATTTGCGGCTGTCATTGTTAACAGTGAACGCATGCAATTGTGCAGTTAACCAGAACAACTGGCTTAGGTACTGACATCTGGGATTTTTAATTTGTTTTTTGTTTTTTTTTTTGGAATGGATGTCCTGTGTGTAGAAGCATCTTAACACGGAGCTTTGTCTTCTTCTCTCATACACTCGCGTTTGCAAGCTGCTTGATTATTAACCAATTTAATGATGTATCAGTTCCAACGGTGTGATCTACTAAATTTATATGTAGATTGTGGAACTGTATTCATGAACCCTTTCATGCACCCTGGAACCTTACAACATGATAAGCCGTCCACAAAGGGTGAACAGATTGCACAAAGAAATAAAGGAGCAAACCGTTTTTCCACGAACGACGGTCTACTGTGACCAATGGATAGAAAAGAACTAATTATGGTAATCCCTTACGGTCAAATGAACCGCTGTTCGCATCGCGGGTCTGCACAATCGTTCACACTTGTTGCCAATATAGCAGCCGCTATTTGGAATCGTCGTCAATGACATGCAACACACACACACATGCACCAACAGCATGTAGTGTTAGCGCAAACATGTAATTAAGTGCCCGCTACTTGAGATGTGCGTAAACCAGGCCCTCTGAGTACTATTTTTAGGAGGAATTTATCGATGCTGTCGCCCACAGGACTGGAGTGGAAAAGCTTCAGCACCGGTTTTGAACTTTTTTTTTTTTTTTAATTTCCTTTTTTTTTTTTTTTTTTTTTTGTCCTGATTTGACAGCAGACCGCATTTGCAAGCATCACAAACAAATATGACACCGTGCTAAGCTAGGTGGAAGGGACGGAAAGTACGATCAGATGAGTGACGTAGCAACAAGCAAACAATAAAATCAAAGTAGTCAGTAAATAGTCTGTCCTTTTTTTTTTTTGGTGTTTTCTGCAGTGGGGCCGGAACTGTAAATCATTACAAAACTCATCTGGCATTACTGCTAGACCTTGGCGCAGGTATGCAGTCGATTTGGTGTCATTCGATTTTTTTTTTTTTTTTGCTTTAAATTCATCATCTGTCCTGCCTGAGTAAAAGCGGGTTAAATGAATAATAATAACCACCCTAGAAAACATATTTCAATGGCAATCACTCTTTCGCCCTCCCCACTTTCACTGTAACGTATTTGAATATCAACCAAAATTTGATCCACAATAGAAAAATCACACCCTTCATCCTGAGCAGATGCTCCTCTGAGAGAGCACTGCTAAAAATGAAACGTCGGGAAAATAAAACACAACCTGAGCACGAGAATTTTTCCAGCGTTTCAGGAGGAGAGGTAAGTCAGGTTCAATCTACGCCCACGCTGGGAGAATAAAAAAAACATACACACACACGGTATATCCACTGTCTCCCAGGGGAGGCCTGGAGGCTGGCTAATGTGTCTCACTGTCATGGGGGAAGGCGTGATAAACATGGACACATATTGCATTTGCGAGGGAATGTCACACATGGTGGTCTGCCGTGTCGCCATGCAGGGGGTTGTGGATGACGCACGCAATGCGAGTTGGGAGGGTGCGATAGAAAACCAAAAAAACACGTCGCCGCAGATCTTGTTCTTCTTTTGTTCCCTTTAATTGGGCAAGAAAGTACAATATTGTTAATGTGAGTGGGCGGTATAATGATGCAGTAGAACAGCATGATCCCCCCCCCCCACACCCCCTGCCAATCATCATCAATCATGTCATTATATCTGAGATGGACGGTATGTGTGTCTCATTTAAAAGGCATTAAGCGATGAGATGGCATCCTCTAGTGTCCCTTGTGACCATGAAGAATGTGAGTTTGCCTTTCAATTAAACATTCACAGATGCATATGCATTGACAACATTGTTGACATCACAGTAAATCAATGCCAATTGCACGTTAGGCTATGCTGTCAATCGCCCCATTGAGTTAAAGGGCAGTTGCAGTTCTATAAAATATGCTACCATACCACTGAACTGAACGATTTTGATTTTTCAGTTTAAAAACAAAACAAAACAAGCACAAAAAAAAAAGAAACACTTTTTTTTACGACAGTGGACATCTGATCATATGATCAGGTTACAGGATGCATGGAAGGGTTGCATTCCATCTGGATACCTTTTACGTTTTCATGGCACTCATGTTCAAGTTGAATAATAGATGAGCACCACTGAATGAGAGCGCTCGGCTGCGAACGTCACCCAAACCAGTCCTTCTTGAGACCTCTCAGCTCTCTGAGCCTATGGGATCGCTGCAAAACGTCAAAGCGCTTCCGATAAGCCCCTCCCTCTCTCATCTGTGAGTATATAGACCCCGGGACAATGGCAACACAGATGCACGCACGCACGCACGCACGCCGCGGCTCGTGCGACGAGGCTGCAATGAAGACTTCACATTATTGATGGACGGTGACGAAAGAGGATGAGTGGATTCCGTTTGGTACGTTTGTGCGTGTGATGTGAGTGGAGCTAAAAATAACTCAGCCGCATCATTTTATTCTTAAATTCCAGTCCACTTCAATGCAAATGTTTTCCGGCAGAAATATCTTTTAGCCTTGCGTTTTTCAATTGTAATCTTCAGCCCTTCTTCTCCTCCTATCTTTCAAAATTGCAGGCACTTGCCGGCAAGTATCGAGGGCAAGAACCAGAACAAGAGTGCCACAGACAGTCGTGGAAGCAGCTCGTGTAGCGGCAATCAGCCACAACCGCACGCTGAGAGGATCCCCCTCCGTAAACGGGCACCCTTTCCTGCATCATTCCCCAAGGGCAGCGGCTCGGAGATGGGTTGCTCCTCGGGCCGCCAGCCCCCCGCCCCGGTCCTTCACCCAGACTTGGACTGTAGCCACGGCGGCGACGCAAACACCTTACCCCAGGACTCGGAAAACCAGAACGTAAACAGCTCGGGAAGTGTGGAGGGACGAGAAGTCAAACCTCCGGAGTCTCTCCCCACACTCGAGCGGCTGGCTCAAGCGACGGGGGGCACAGAAAAGTCCTGGTACCGCTGCGTATTCCCTTTCGGGGTGATTTCACTGGTTATCGGGATGGCGGGCACGGGGGTGACGTTCACTTTCGACAATCTGCTCCAGACCAAAGTGGTTTCCGTGGCGTTGCTTTGCATCGGTGTCGTGATGCTGCTGGTGGCTGCCGTCTGTTGGCGGGCCCACAGACTGAGGAGGAGGAAAAAGAAGGAGGGGGGGTTCTTTACCACCGATCTGGGTACTTTGTGATGGAGGGGGGGGTCAGGTATATCCCAGACGGAACACTTTGAGCCAGACTGTCACTGACAAGGACAGATGAATGACAATACATATGGACCGGGTGTATGATTAGAAGTTTGATGTAATACTGTGACAGCGCCGCATCATCGCAATTCGACAAAGCGTTTCGAAGAAGGATCGCCACCATCTTGACCACTTAAAGGTCCTGATATTGAAGACATCACCAATATGCCCTCCGATCTATTGATAGCGTCACCCTAAAGTTGCCTCCACATATCAGGGAACAGAAGTAAAGATATGCAAGAGTCCTAAAGACATCCTGATCCTTAACCTGAAACTTGATAGAGCAATGTTTACGTATAGGACAACAATTTTGTAGCAAGGGAAATATGAGTGCATGACAGGGTGATGGGAAGTTGAACAGTTTGTGGATTCTGGCAAAGAATCTCTCTATGCTGACTGTCGAAAAGATGTGGAAAATGCAAACATGGTATGATCGCTTCGTGAACCAACTTTGTGTTGGAGCCCGGGAGATTCATTGAAACAGTAGTAAGGGGAGTCCATTTATATCCCTTCAAGTACAAGCTGTATGTTAAGATGTTCTTGGAGTTAAAAGTCGAGAATACAAACATTTGACGATTGGAACGAAGTCCAACTGTCCTGGTTGGTAGAAAGTGGGCTCTTTATTTTTTTTCACTTCATTTCTGTCGGGAAGTCGGTGAAAATCATTTGGAGAAACAAATTCTGCCTGCGTGGACAACTTCTAAAAGCTTCAGGCTCTCAAAGGTCAACACTTTCCCTTGACCCCCCCAGCTTTGTTGGGATAACCACCATCCAGCTGTGTGCGATCAATAGAAATAGCTGTGATGTGAACGATGAAGCCTTTGGGGGAAATGAACTGGGTTTTTTTTTCCTTTCCTGCAGATGAAATTGCTTTGCCTGCTGCTGTATGTCCTCCTGTTGGTGACCCTTTTGTTATTTGGCAAACAACTCCCATTCCAGACATACCTCAGTGAACACAACGTAACAAAAAATAAAATAAATAACAACAAAACCAACAAAAAAAGACAGCACAACGGTTCTTTTGATCCTCGCTAAATCAAACCGGCTACTCCCACTGACATGAAGAGTCGGTGGTGCGTAACAAGGGAATCCCATTCTCCCTCTATCCATGAAAAGATTCCCACGTGTTCGTTTCGGCGACATGAGAAAGGAATACGGTTCGCGTGGACGATAGCTTAGCGAGCGGTAGCATTTGTGAGAATGCTATAGCTAGCGCTGCCCCTTTCTTGAGCACCCAACCATAGCATGTCTCAAGCCAAGAAGCGATTGTGGAGCCGACATGTAGCATGTACTGTAGGTCAGCCAGTGTACAGTAAAGCACAATGTCGTGGTGATGTAATAATGGCTTTTAGCAGCTGGTGATGTGGTTAGAAGACCCGGTAGCATCGACTTAGCTGTAGCAATGTATTTGATCGTTAATTGCTTCGATTAAATGTTAACTGGGTAAAACTTTTCATTTTGTTTTCTGAAATCACCTTCGGGTTTTTTTTTTCCTCTTTGTGCCCCTAACATTGTAGAAAAGCCCAAATAGGCAACCAAATATTGGCGTTTGCTAAAATGAAAAAAAAAAAAACACATCTGAATGTATATTGAACAGTAAGTGTCTTATTTGTACAGGTTGTAAAGCTGTAACTTCTATTTTGTATAGTGAAAAAAAAATTGCGTGTTTGTATATTGGAAGCGGGCTACTTTTATTTATTTTATTTCTTTTTCATCGTCCTTTCACCTCCAGTGACGAGAGTAGAAAATGTTTTTAAAGCAACTGTCACTTCGAGTAACTGGAAGAGGTCGAATAAAACTCCTCATTGGCTTTATTGGCATGACCCAGCTTGTTCCTGAGTCCCTTCTCCTGTTCTCCTGTCTCTTATTTCTTATATATATATGATGTTTTCTTTTTTTTTTTTTACTTTTAATCGAGGCCGCAGGTGTTTTCTTGACGCTGCAGATAATGCCGATAAGCAATCAAAGAAGGCAATTTTGTGTGATGCACAGATGGAAAACAATGGCTATAACAAAAGCTGTTGCCATTGGCAACTCGCGCAGAATGGCAAATCGCAACATAACATCTTTCTGATGGCCTTCTGTCCATTTTAGATTTTTTTTTTCTTCTAAAGTGTTCTGGGACTATATCAACATCGCTTTGCTTCAAGCGCGTCTTTGGAACGATGGGAGATAATTAGCAACCAGCGGGATAGCAGATGGACAGCTGGTGACGGTTGGTAAGCTTGATTATTTGAATAGTCACCAGGCGGACAAAAAAAAAACAAAAAAAAACAGTTTTTTAGCAAAGAGCCTCGAGCAAGAAAAAAAGTGTGTCCAAGTACCAAGTGTTCATCTTCCTCTGTTCAGCGAGTGATGAAATAGAATGACGAGCCTCAAAAGTTATTGAACTTCCAGGCAGACAATACACCAGTATGATCTTGACAGTCACATATGATTTATCCTCGGCGTAGAATGACTAATAGTGCCGCACCGATGAGCTGATGGGCAAAGATGACGTTTTTTGTTGGGGTTTTTTTTTTGTATATCAAGCCTACTGAGCGTTATGACTGGCCGCTGCAGGACTCATGATGTCATAACTGTGCATTTTGGATGTTTTTGTATGAGGAACTGATGACTTGAGATCCAAGTGTTTTGTGTTACAAACGTGGTCACAGACCAAATTCAACTCATCTCTCAAGGCCCCACGGTAATTTTGTCGCCTGTCATTGAGTTCAGCTCCATCAGGCAACTCAAAATCCTCTAAGAATTCAGTGCACACTTCATGCTCACCACTTGACAGGCAAGAACGGAACGTTTTGCCCCCGCAGAGGCCAAAATGTCCCTCGGGAACACGGCAAGACCAGCAAAAACGTCGAGAAAGTCTGATAAGAAAATTAAATAAAGTCATGAGCGCTCCAATTAAGTCGTTAAATCTGATACTTAGTGATGTATTGATTTTACCAGCCGTGTCCGTGCCCGGCATCTTTTGCGAGCACAGCTGTCAAGCGGGAGGTTTCCTACGAGCACGCCTTCCAACCCGTCTGTGCCCATGCTTTCTTCTTCCCACTCGTTTTGTTTTTTTTCCCTCGTCTTCACATTCACCCATTTATAAGGGATTGTGTCATCCTTGCTCCCTCTTTGCTTCCCCCCACTGGAACAGTCTAAAAATAAACTGAGGCTGACTGGAAAGCACAAGGATAAGAAACTGGGTAGCTATACAGAAAAGGCTGCAATCGGTTGCAGCTCCCTTGTATGAAATCGTGGTGTTACCCGAAAATGGACAACTTTTCCATCCATTCCAGTCAGACGTAACCCCGTAAAGGCAATGAACCCGATTTTCACTCATGGAGACAGCAATTCTTTCACTGCATTGTGTGTATGTGACACATGGCCGAAGACAAATAGCCCCGAATCAATCGTCAACTCCTCCGAGAAATCAAGTCCAGCACGTGCCGCTCATCGATGCTGTTAGCTAACGCTGTTGAATCCAACAAAATGTAAACACTACAGTCCTCCTCTTCTCCAACATTTTGGTTGTGAACTCCAAAGTATAACATCAAATAGTGTTCGGGATGCGAGAAGCGGTGCCTTTTTTTTTTTTTTTTCATTTTGCTGAAAACTGCTCTGAGTCACTTCGAAAGCTTCACTCAGAAGAGCTAATTAAAATTTCCTTCCAATTTCCACCGCCCGTGCATTCAAGCAAAGTAAACCGTTCCTCTTGTTTGTCCACCTGCCTGTTCTGTGTTTTCTTGGGAAAGAAGGAAAAAAAACAAAAAACAATCTAATTAGCAGCTTCAGTTAATTAGCCCCGTATTGAATCGCTTTTGCCTCACTTGAGGCTTGAAGGTCCAGTGTTAAAGGTTGTTCATTACCGCAGGAAAGTCGCCGCTAACGTTTTATCTGACGGCAAGATTGTCGCTTCTCTTCTTGCTCCTTTTCATCCTCCTCCACTCGATTCGGAGCAGTTCAAGTCAACTCGCTTTGAACAAAGGTGACCGCTTCATTTTCCAAAAGATGAAGAAGAGACCGGGGCAGACGAGGCAGGGAGCACATTCGTGTTGGTTTTGTTTTGTGAACGATTGCGGTGCCGCCGCACCAATGGCTCGCTCATTTCCGGAGCCGGCATTATGAGGTGATCATATCAATTATTCAGTTACGTACGCGCGGGAACAGATTCGCAGTTGCTGATGTGCATCATCACATGGACACTACGGTGGAAAATTGCAATCCGGGTTTGCCGTCTGCAGTTTCACCGCATTATGTTTTTTTTATTTATTTATTTGTCAATTTAGGAATGCTTTAATATTTAATCAGGAAATGACTCGAGATATATATATATATATATATATATATATATA